CTGAAGTCCACGGTGTTGCTACAACTTATTGGGCTAGGGTCGTGGGCTTCGATTTGCGATTTGAGAAATTACAAAAAATCAGGCATTTAATTTTTCAAATTCAAAATTCAGGTGTGAATTTTATTTAATCAAAAATCAGATATTGAATTAATAATTAAATATTATACCCAGAAACCTAATCCCAACAAACCCTAAATCATTTTTCTTCTATCTTCATTCCTCTCTTCTCTTCATATTCTCTCTTTCTACCCTCACCCTTAGCTGCCGTCGCCGATGAAGTGCCCACCACCGGAGACATCGCTTGATGTTTCCCCCTCACAGCCGGCGCTGTGAGAGTTGGCAGTGGCTACGCTGCTGTGTTTTCCCCTCACAGTCGACGTTGTGAGAGCCAGCAGAAGCATCGCCGTCGCCACTACTACAGTAGGTAAGAGCTCCTGCCGCTACAAGGCTACTGTTGAACTATTTTGGATGATTTTAGGGTGGTTTGGGGATTTGAGATGGTGGCAGATATGGTGGTGCTGCAGTGTGGGTGCAGGTGGTGTTGGATATGGCGGTGGTGGTGAGGTGATAGTGGTGTTTGTGGTGCGATGGTAGTGGTGTAAGTTGTTGTTGGTGGGTTGCAAAATGGTGGCGGTGGTGGCGATGGCAATGGTGTTTGTGATGATTTTTGTTGGCAGTATATTGGATCTAGTGGTGGTGGTGTTGTGGTGCTGTCATTGCGTCGTTTTTGGTAGTGGTGCATTTTTGGCGTTGGCGGCGGCAGCGTTGGTTAATTTGTGATCAACCATGTTGTTATCTGTGACCTAAAATTTATATAATCTGTAACCGTGAAAAAATATGTGACTAACTAGTTTGAAAATTTGTGACTGTGTGACGTATAAATTTTGAAATATATGACCGACGAATTAATTGTAACATAAAATTTTTTTTATATGTGACCATTAAAAAATTTGTAACCAACTAATTTGGAAATCTGTGACCTGCAAATTAACTGTGAACAATCTGTGACCATTAATTCTATAATTGTGACCTTAATATATTTAGTTAATAAATATATATTTACTTAATTAACTAATACCTGATTTATGAATTTTGAAACTTAAAATCTGAATATTGATTTGCCTCGTTCCAAACACCTGATTTTTGAACTTTTCCCTTGAGATTTTATACATTTTTTATTTTAAAAAAGAAAAAAATATTTTTTTACCATGGGAAGTCATTTTATAAAAGGTATCGTTCAGTTCGTGCTCGTAAGTCGTAGTGTATTATCAAAAGAAATTAGTGTTATATATTGGATTCTTGACACACAATTGTGAACGAACCATGAATTCACTAGGAGAAAAATCGTTTTAAAGACAGAAACTCTTACCTCAATAAAATACCAGAGATTTAGGGCCGACTACATTTTTTTGTCACTTGGTGAATGGTGTAATTCAATACTCCCTTGTAGTGCGAGCTACTAGGTTTGTTGCAACAAATCTATATTACGATTCATATAATATCTTCATGTAGTGACAATAAAAGTTCTTTTCTACAAACAGATTTGAAATTTCTTGCAGAATTAAATATTTGTGCTGATATGTCAGAGTTAAGTCTAAAATCTTCACTTGATGACAATGCCAATGTACAGATTTGTATGTCTTCATGTTCACCAAGATTCCTAGCCCCAATATATATATATGTCAAATTTTCTTTCATTAACTTATAAAAAGGTTGCACTCTTTGTCCCCAACCTTTACAAAATATATCAAATACACCCCAACCTTTTTTTTTAGCAAAATTCATCCCAAACCTTTCAATTATGTAGCATAACTCGTCATTATCTCAATTTTTTTCCATTTTGTGATGAATTTGTCGTTCTATTTAAATAAACAAAAATAAAAGAAAGAACAAACCTCTTATTTAAAATAACTAAATACATATGAACAAATAAAAAATAAAAAATTATGATGTCGATTTTTTAGGTAGGCAACTGATTTTTTATTTTGTCTTTCTTTTTCTATTTTTAAAAAAAATATATATCAAGTTGTTTTAAATGTGATTTAGCCCCTGTTTGGCCCCCATTATTTGGTATTTTTGATAGTTGAAAATTTTTGGAATAGCGATTGATGGGAGAATGTGTGGTGGAAAAGTAATGAAAAGTTTTAAATTTATGTGTAATATTATTTTATTTGATAAATGTGTGGTTGTGATGAAGAGAAAAAAAAATTTAATGTAATGTAATTTAATTTAATAGGGGCCAACGTTGTACTAGTTGAAAAGTTATGATACCTTTTTTACAATTTTTCTTCATCTTTTGTTGTTTAAAAAGATGGGTAAATATATTATTTAATAGTCAAAATGTAGATAATGACGAATTTTGTTACATAATTGAAAGGTTGAAAATGGATTATGCTTTAAAAAAAAAAAGATTGAAGGTAGATTTATTTCATTTCGTAAAGATTGGAGACGGAAAGCGCAAATTTCCCTAATAAAAACTATGCCATCCATACGAAGCGTTCGATTTTCATTCAACCTATTTACTATTTTATTTTGGTATGATCTCAATATTATTGGCAGTATTCTGATACACACTTTTTGCTTCCAAGACAAATCAGCAAAAAAGATACCTTTCATGTTAAAATGAAATGGTGGAAATGAATTAGTGTAGTAGAAGCAATTTTGGACCAAAAAATGTCCCTTTAGCCACTCGTATATATTACCGATGACGATCAATGATATTGTTGAGAATAAGACTTAATTTGCTATTATTCAAGACGTACATATAATATTATCTCAAGAAGTACCCAAGAAAACTAATAAATTTTTGGTTTCTACATCCCGGATTTGGTAAACATGTCAGCAGGAAAGTTTCCAACATCTTCATTCTTCGCTTCGACTGTGCTGAAAATGTTCTGTTAAACAAAAGTGCAAGCCCTGCATTCATTTCGTCACTGCTCGTTTAAACTCCCCATTGATCATTTTTGCAAAAGTAACAAACAATGCAACCTTTATTGCAGTTTACTGTATACCAGTAACAAAACGGAGAAGCCCAGTAATCACAATTCGTATTAGACAGAAATGCATGGGGAAGAGGCAGAACAGCAATCCACTGGTCTTGAAGAATAACTACAAACTAAGACAAGAATTTGGAGTCAGCTACTTGAATCATTTTCACGTCTTTTATCTACTAAAAGATTTAATGCTTGATTGGTCATGCATAAAAAACTATTTTTTTTATTAAGAAATTGATAAAATAGGGCCCCACAAAGACTTGCGCCGAACCCACAATTTGTTTATTTTGAGCCACAAAAAGAAGCGGTGCTCGGTTGCTTATAAGATAGTATGAGCACACCCAAACATGCTACAATCTGGCAATTTCTACTGAGTTCTAGTCCTAAAGAATAGAAAACTCTTAACATTCACTTGGAGTAACGCGATAAAGTAACAGTGTCAAAATGAGTGAGGTTTGCCATCTGCCCAGGTCCGTCCATCCAGCCGGCCTAAAGTGGAACTTCTACATATCCACTCATAAGCAACGAATTGAATAATATGGCTGTAAGGATCAGTAAACTAAAAATTGTCATATTTCGCATATCCCTTAGTCAAAAGCCATATACTCGAGTCAACTTGGTCCCGACTCCAAAGTCTATGCATCTGCCATCTTCAACATGTCTACATTTAGGTGACAGCTCGGAGAACTATCATCTAGTTTAACAGTAGTCAATTCCAAAACAATACAAAAATTGACCCCATGCTTTAATAACCAACAAAAAAGCCCTCTAAATACCACTCTATTACATGCCACAGAAGCTGATACAAGCAGCGAAAATGTGGCACGATGAGTATCTCTCATCAGCCGACATGGCCTTTAAGCCATATAAGATCCGCCTAGTGGGTTAAAGCAACAAAGACAAACAATGTACTGGAATGGAACGCTCACAACCAGCAATCTGACTTCTTCCCATTGAGCGTGCAAGGAGAACATCATCTATTAAACTGTGGCCTACCATGTTAACAACTCTTGAACCACATATTTTATGCTTTAGAACTCTCCTTACTATCTTAACCTTTAGAACTTCTATATTCCCTAGTCTTCGAGAAAAGACTTTTTCCTTTTCTTTTTCCCTTTTTGGTGGTCGGCAAACAAGTTTCAACATTTTAGCATACACAACAGTTGAGAGCAGGAATCTAAAAAATAACAAAGACCATCACATGAAATGTATAATCTTCAACAGTTTATGCCTATTCTATGTACTTCCTTTTTGGTCAACAAGTCAGCTCAATGCTTCCTTATTTGACAACCGGGAGATGTAAAATGACTAGATCCTTAGCAACTACTACAAGTTAAATGAATTTTGGTCTACCTCCCTTTCTAAACTTGCTCTACAGAAATTGCATGACTGTATATGAAATGGCGCTTCTTTAGGTCAATGCATAACATGACCCAACCACCCAAGTCTTTCTTCTCTTAATTTATCCTCAATTGGCACCACTTCAACGTGTTGGCCTATGATCTTCATTTTTAGTCAAGCAAAAATCTGAATTAGCCTCACACATTAAGCGGGAGAGCACAATTAAGAAGATAAACAGCAGCAAACCAATATTGAAAATATTATTCAATTAAAACAGGCTTATTTAGGGGTTCAGTACACAGCCTTGCGGGGAGTAATATAGTTGCAATTCTATCCCAAATATGACCAGTAAATAAAAGAATAAGTAGCCTCTCGAAAATTTCTTTGGCTCCTCAAATGACTTGACTTAATAGAAATCACCATACGTGAAGTAGATTGCATGATAAACAAGTTCTGACTGTTTCGAAGAAAAATACAACTCCAGTGTTGTTCTTTGTTGTAAACGAATAATTGCTATAAATTACAATCAATTACCTTTCCTTGAATGAAACATGAGACTTCAGATTCCTCCCAGAGAGACCTTCACTTTCACGGGGCAAAGGCAAGGCCTTCATAAGAGACTCTGAAGATGAACCGCGAGCTTTTGACTTTAATTGTTCAAGAACTCGAATAGCTTCTTTGAGTTCATCTTGAGCACTTGGTCCATGGCCCTCCCAAGCTTCGACTACCTTCTCCTGGAAGTTAATTGCAAGTGGATAGCTGTTCAATTAAGGAAGAAGAAAAGATGTTAAATGATATTTTCCACCCAACAAAGAAAAAAAGCAACTGTCCGACAATAGCAACCAAAAATACATGATACCAAGCTAATCTCAGATCACCTGATAGAATAAAATCTAGTGTTTTACTTTTATATTATTTAATGGAGATCTAAAGGAACAGGCAAACCCAATCATCATTTCATCCATATCTTACAATATTTCAGCTGTCTAGGGAGGTCTTGGCTATTCATGACAGATCTGAGAATTCTTTCAAACAATCTTCTAAAGGAGCATTGAAAAGAAAAATTTATGGATCAAATTATTTCCAGGTCAAAGTCATCAACACTAGGCAGATTTTCCCCTCCTTTCAGAATAAGGAAGCAGAAAAGAAATATGTATGACTTCCGTACATATATTAGCTGGTTTGGTAAGTCAATATTTCAAAAGAGAAAACTATCAAAGATTTTTAAAACCAATGCTGATTCCTGCAAGGAAAGTGTCCACTGCACATAATTTTACCGTAGATATATAAAACCTATTTTTCAAACCAAGGTTGAAATTGCCCAAGCTGTCATTATTTGTTCCCTCAAATAGAGGGAAACATAATGACCATTGTAAGTATATTATGCCAGAGAAATGAGCACAACATAAATCTTCAATCATGCGTAGGTAAAATAACTTGAATTCAGTTACTCGATAGCCCCTTTTTTGAGATTTTAAAAGTAAACCATCGTGATTGTTGACTAGAAACTTCTCTTGATACAGGAAGATGATAGGTCGGTAACAGTCTTCAGATTGTGATAATTAAAATACTCAAGAAACACACTTTGAAAGTTATGGTTAATTACACAGCTCAAGAATAGACTTCATTAAAAGAAACGAATTATTTATAAGGACCGTTTTACACTGATTTACAAATAATTATTTTCATAAAACATGCATCTTGAACTTATCAAATGGAAGATCAACAGGTGAGACAACAGCATTAAAGTGTTGGCTGGTATTACTTATGATTCAGTACGATTAGATGAGAATATCATGATTGCAAGGTGATAGGCCAACGATTAAGTACACCTATTCTAGAAGGTCCAGGAAGAATGGAGAAGTAAGGTGGTGCTGAAGAGTTTATGAAATTTTTGTAATAAGAATTATATAATAAATAAGAATGATATTTGAACAATCAAGTCTTGTATATATTGAATAATAATTGACTGTTATAAAAAAAATGTACAATGCATTTATATTTATAAGCAAAATTATTTCCTACTTCTACTAATAATAGGAAATTAAAATAAGAAAACTAATAAAATTATAATCTAATTAGAAATCATATTCTAATTAATCAAGAAAAAAAAATCATATTTTAAACAAAATATTAGAATAAAAAGATAAAATTTATTACAATTAGACGTCTCATTATAAATATATAATCATAATCCTATTTACAATAGGATTGTCCTGCATCAATCTCTACCACTTGAAAAAAAAAAACTCGTCCTCGAATTTTGTTGAAGAAAAGAATCATTGATAACTTGTGTATATTCGAACTTGACTGGGACTCGAGGAAATTCTCTAGCCACATGTTGTCGTGTTCTATGCTCGTTGAAACAACCAACATTTATAGCAGTTAAGGTCTGCAAATTCTTATAAGCTTGCTTTTTAATGGGCATGTGATTCTTTCAAAACTTAACGCAGTCAGCATTTGCATAATGTTATGAAGAGTTTCATCGATCTCCTCGACTCGTTGTTCGAGTTTGTCGAGCATCCGTTCGTCGTCGACGGTTCGACTGCCACCAGTACCTTCGTCGACCATCGGATTAAGACAATTTCCTTGCTCTGATACCAATTTTGGTGCGAAAGCATTTATGAAATTCTTGTAATAAGAATTATGTTATAAATAATAATGATATTTGAACAATCATGTCTTGTATATATTAAATAATAATTTATTGTTATCAAAAAAATGTACAATGCATTTATATTTATAAGCAAAATTATTTCCTACTTTTAATAATAGGAAATTAAAATAAGGAAACTAATAAAATCATAATCTAATTAGAAACAATATTCTAATCAATAAAGAAAAAAATCATATTCTAAGCAAAATATTAGAATAAAAAGATAAAACTTATTACAATTAGATATCTTATTATAAACATATAATCCTAATCCTATTTACAATAGGATTGTCCTACATTACAAGGGAGTAACAACATTCTGTTAGCCAGCATGCCAAGTGGTTATAGTCTATTAAAAATAAAGAGTAGCGAGGGATGATTAAGCAGCAAAAGTTGGCTGTAATAGAGAATATGAGAGTGATAGTCCTTTTAAATGGCTATATAGTGTTTTCTTTCATTATTGTATTTCCCTTCAAGCGATTCTATAAAATGCTGCTTTCATTCCTTAAATCATTCTTTCTTTTGTTAAATTGTTACCCATCAAATTGGTATTGAAGCAACAAAATCCCGATGACTTGGAAGAAATCCGACTACAGGGCGGAGGTGATAGAGAAGGAAATGGAAGATCTAAAATCAAGGTTACAAAGGTTACCAGGGATAGAACATTTGGTGGAACAATTGACTCAGAATTTAGCCAGAATGATGCAGACTATGGAAGTTACTCAAAAGGCTGTTGTGGCATTAACACTTCTAAGGGGTGTGATGGATATAAATTCAGAAGGCGAAGGGTTTGGGAGTATCATGGAGGGACTAACTAACATTCACAGTGGAGCCATAGGAGCTAAGCAAACACGGGAATGTGGGAAATGGGTCAAAAATTCCGGCGAAGCAAGTTTTGGAGGAGAAATAGAGGTCCCCGTCCAAAGGAAGAAAATTAATGATTGGCGATGGGTTAGAAATTGGAGATGCATGTGTTCAGTGGTGATATGTGAGAAAATACGGTTAGTTTCCCCGAGCTCGATCTAGTATGCCCGAGCTACACATTCACCAAAATACCTAATGGTTGAGGTCGGGCTTTGCATTAAGGTCGGGCGTGTTTCATATTAACGACACTCTTGCCCATATTTCGTACCCATTAGAGCATTAATCCTATTCTGACTGTGACTTATCATAACCTATATCCCAATCCAAACTGCCAACCTACCATGAGTTTGATTCCAAACACAAACACGACACTTTGAATATAATACAAACACCTTACATGATAAGGATAAGGACTACAGGTCGTTAAATCTTTTCAGGACTCCATCATCAACATCTATAAATACAGGACCAAGGTTCATTGCAGGAAGGCATATCTCGTAAGAGCAGGTTGAAGCTACTTAGAGCATGGGACAAAACTTACTCTCATTGGCTTTTGAATAAGTGAAGTTCGAAAAGCTTATAGTTTCTCTTCCCCCACAAGCTAAGCAAAGAGAGAGAGAGAGAGAAGAAGACCCCCTTTTCGAGGACTAGTGACTTCTCTATGCCGATAGATTATGGTTCACAGTCCGTATTCATGTACGATTTTACATAATTTTGCAATACATAATTTTACGCATAAATTCTCTTTCTGACTTAAGTATCAGAGGGGCGACGATAACCCACCTTAACGCCTTTGTTTCAGGTATTGAAATCAATTCGTGCGTGATTTAAGCATTCAGTTCAAGATCAAGCAAGTGCAGGTTTTTGGTAGCATCACCTGTGTTCAGTGGTGATAACCCAGATAGATGGTTGTACCATGTAGAGAGGTATTTCGAGGTGAAAGGGTTGACAGAAAAAGAGAAATTAGGAGCGGTGGGAGTCTTCCTCGCCGATGTTGCACTAGCATGGCTACAATGGACAGAAGCAAAGACTTCACTTTAGACATGGGATCAATTTTGAAGGTTTCTTCATATCTACTCAAGAGGGGAGTCTATGAGAGAAATTCCTTGACATCCGGCAGACCGGAACGGTGGAAGACTACCGGCGAAACTTTGAGGCCCTAGCTGCGCATCTTGTAAACATCCCGGAGGAAGTATTGCAAAGCACTTCTATTAATGGGCCTTGGCCCCCAATAATAAGGGCTGGAATTCGATTGCATCGCCCAAATGGACTGGGCTAAATGATGGACATGGCACAGCGGGTCGAAGAGAGGAACAAAGCCCTTAAAAGTGCCTAATGAAATTTAGGCTGCTCGATTCCTTAAATCATGGCCTAATCGCGGTAAAGTGAAGCCGAGCGAATCTTTCCCCCACATGAATAGTTACCGTAGTGGAGAAGGTGCCTAATCTACGACGAGAAGGTCTGATTCAAAGGTTAACAGACGCGGAATGGCAACTGAAGAGGGATAAGGGGTTGTGCTTTCGCTGTGATGAAAAATTTACTGTGGGACATCGCTGCAAAAATCGTGAACTCCATGTTTGCTTGTCCATCGGGAAGAAGGAGAGGGAGAGGAGGAAGCAATCGGCGAGTGTCGACATGTGGAAATTACGGTCGGGTATAGGTCGCGCACTTCAGCGCCATCGAAAAGAAGGAGAGGAAGCAACCGACGAGTGTCGGCCTGTGGAAATGGCAAAGGTAATCAAACTCTCCCTCAACTCCGTGGTTGGTCTAACCACGTTGGGAACAAACAGTCTTGATAGATTGCGGTGCTAACCATAATTTCATATCTCTGGAACTAGTGAAACAGTTGAATCTGCCCCTTACGGCTACAGGTAATTACGAGGTGGTCATGGGTACGAGTGTATCTGTAAAAGGAAAGGGAATATGAAAGGGGATGGTTGTCGAACTGCAAGGGTTGACAATTGTGGAGAATTTCTTTCCATTAGAGTTGGGCAGCACTAATGTGGTCCTTGGAATGCAATGGGTAGGGAGTTTAGGAGACACGGAAGTGAACTGGAAGACGTTAACCATGAGATTTCGAATGGGAGAAACCTGGTTTACACTAAAGGGAGATGCAAGCCTTCAAAAGACGGTATGGGGTAGGAATATGGGTTGTGTTTGGAAGTATGGGAACAACCACTAAGAAGCAGGGGGACAAAGAACTGCTGCAAAGATCTAAAGAGTATTGCATCGATACCAA